TTGCAACCCCCAAAAAACCTCTCAAAGCCCCCCAAAAACCCTCCAGGATCCCCCAAAACTCCCTCAGAACCCCCCAAAACCCTTCAAAAACCCTCCACAACGCCCCAAAACCCTCTCATGACCCCTCAAACACTCCTTGCAACCCCCTAAAAACCCCTCAATGCCCCTCAAAACCCTCCAAGATCCCCCAAAACTCCCTCAGAACCCTCCAAAACCCTCTCAGAACCCCCAAAACCCCCTCAAGACCCCTCAACTACTCCTTGAAACCCCCCAAAATCCCCCAAAACCCTCTCAGAACCCCCAAAACCCTTCAAAAACCCTCCACAACCCCCCAAAACACCCCCGTGACCCCTCAACCCCCTCTTGCAACCCCCTAAAAACCCCTCAAAAACTCCTCAAAATACGGGGAGGGTTCCTGAAGGGAAAATTGGGGAAGAACCCACCCAAAAGTCTCCCCCAGGTCAGTTTTTTAATGAAATAGAGCCCCAAAAGTACCCCCAGACTCACTTTTTGGGGGGAGGCACTTTGGAGAGAGGCTGAAGAACCAGGTCTACGTGCAGGGGTTTCTGTGGGGGTTTCTTGGGTCGCCGACCTGAGGAGGTTCGGAGAGGTCAGGGCACCCCAAAATCCTCGGGAGAGCTCGAATTTAGGCAAAAAAACCCAGAAGCTCGCCCTCACCTTTGCGGGTTTTTCCCGTGTCCAGGAAGAAAAGGCCCTCGTTGGGCTGCTCCGAGATCAGACCCCTGCAAAAGATTCCCCCCAAAAAAGCGGAGACCCTCATAAACCTCAAAATCCCCAAAACTCCCTCAGAGCTTCCCCTTCTCCTCTCAAACCCCCTGCGAGACCCTCGGGGAGCTCCGGCACCCCCAGAACCGCTGTGAGCTCCCTCACGACTCCCCCCAAAGCCCCTCACGACCCCCTCCTCACCCCGCCGCTCGCTCTTGCAGCCCCACATCCTCCAGGAAATCGCCGATTTCCCGGCCCAGCTGCGCCTCGGGGCCGCTCCAGCGCTTCCAGCCCTTCTTGCGGTTGCGGGGACCGCGGGAGCGGCGCCTGGAGCCGGCGGAGAGGCCGGATCGAGCCGCGGGGTTGAAGGCGAGGAACGACTCGGCCGCCGCCATTTCGTGAGGGAGCGGCGTGAGGGGAGAGGAAGCGGAAGCCGCCGAGGCGGAAAAAAGGCGGGAACGACCCGGCCGCCATTTTAGGGAGGGAGTGGCAAACGGCGGCGCCATTTTAAGAAGGTCTTGGGGGCTGAACTCTGCCCCTAAATCGCCTTTAAAATGTTATGAAAACAAACCCAGACGTGCCCAAACCTCCCGAACGTGCCACGAGTCCTCCCAGATGTGCCCAGAACACCGTAAGCAACAATCTTTGGGAGGAGAGGAAACGTTTCCTTCGCCATCTTGGGAAGGACCGGAAAAAAAAATATCGTCGCCCTCAGGGGATGGGAAATGATCTTGTGGCTTCCCGGTAAGGAGAGGAAACGATGCGGCTGCCGGTTCGGGAAGGACGGGAAATGGAGCCGCCGCCATCTCTGGGAGGACCGGAAATGGCGGCGGCGCCATTTGGGGAAGGGCCCGGCAAGGACGTGACGCCATCTTGGGAAGGTCGGAGGCCGCCCTCAGCTGAGGGGGGGCCCAAGGAGCCCTAAAACCACCCAAAATGTCCCCAAAATCCTCACAAAATGTTCTCCAAATCGTCCCAAAATGTTCTCCAAAGCCCCCCAAAATGTTCCCCCCAAATGTTCCCCAAATCCCCTCAGATGTTCCCCAAAACATCACAAAATGTTCCCCCCAAATGTTCCCCAAATCCCCCCAAATGTCCCCAAAATGTCCCCAAAATTCCCCCAAATCCCCCCCAGATATTCCCCAAATCCCCCCAAATGTTCCCCAAATCCCCCCAAATCCCCCCAAATGTTCCCAAAAATCCCCCCCAAATCCTCCCAAATGTTCCCAAAATTCCTCCCAAATCCCCCCAAATGTTCCCCAAATCCCCCCCAAATCCTCCCAAATCCCCCCAAATGTGTTTTTTGGGGCTGAGTTTTTGGGGTGAATAACGGGGATTTTGTGCCTGGTTTATTGCTGGATTTTTGGGGTGAATAACGGGGATTTTGTGTTTTTTTGGGGTGGATGATGGGATTTCGTGCCCGGTTTTGGGGCTGGGTTTTGGGTTGAATAACGGGGATTCCGTGCCCAGTTTTGGGGCTGAGTTTTTGGATTTCGGGCCTGGTTTTGGGGCTGGGTTTTGGGTTGAATAATGGGGATTTTGTGGTTTTTTGGGGATGGGATTTTGGATTTCATGCCCGGTTTTATTGCTGGATTTTTGGGTTGAATAACGTGGATTTCATTCCTGGTTTATTGCTGGATTTTTGGGTTGAATAACGGGGATTTTGTGCCCGGTTTTGGGGCTGAGTTTTTGGATTTCATGCCTGGTTTTGGGGCTGGGTTTTGGGTTGAATAACGGGGATTTTGTGCCCAGTTTTGGGGCTGAGTTTTTGGATTTCATGCCTGGATTTGGGGCTGGGTTTTGGGTTGAATAACGGGGATTTTGTGGTTTTTTGGGGCTGGGTTTTGGATTTCATGCCTGGTTTTGGGTTGAATAACGGGGATTTTGTGCCCGGTTTTGGGGCTGAGTTTTTGGATTTCATGCCTGGATTTGGGGCTGGGTTTTGGGTTGAATAATGGGGATTTTGTGGTTTTTTGGGGCTGGGTTTTGGATTTCATGCCTGGTTTTGGGGCTGGGTTTTGGGTTGAATAACGGGGATTTTGTGCCTGGTTTATTGCTGGATTTTTGGGTTGAATAACGGGGATTTCGTGCCTGGTTTTGGGGCTGGGATTTTTGATTTCATGCCTGGATTTGGTGCTGGGTTTTTTGGTTGAATAACAGGGATTTTGTGTTTTTTTGGGGATGGGATTTTGGGTAGAACAGTGGGAATTTCGTGGTTTTTTTGGGGTGGATGATGGGATTTCACGCCCGGTTTTGGTGCTGAGTTTTTGGATCCCACACCCACTTTTGGTGCTGAGTTTTTTTTGATCTCACGGCCGCTTTTATTGCCGGATTTTTGCCTCCAACAGCAGCACTTTCCTTTTCTCCCCGCTCACTCCGCCGACCCCTTTTGCCTCCTCTTGGACGGCGGCACCAACCGCGGCGGCAAATCCGCCGGCAACCCCCGTCCCTCCAGCTTGGCCCCGATCAGGTGCCCGGCCAAGGCGAACTCCTCGTGGTCCAACATGCCATCCCTGTCCACATCGCTGAGCTTCCAGATCCTTCCCAGCACCGAGCTGGGCAGTTTGCTGCTCACCATCCACCCCTTGGCCCTCCGCCCGCTCAGCTTCCCCCCGTTGGGCGCCAGCCCGTAGAAAATCTCGTCGTATTTGGCTTTATCCTTCATCACCACCCACTCGCCGTCGTCGTCGTCGTCGTCGCCGTCGTCTTCCTCGTCCTCGGAGTCGGCGGTGAAGGGTCCCGGGGATGGGTCGAGGGCGCCGCCGCGCACGGAGGGAGTTGTGGGGTTCAGCAGAGGGGTGAGGGAGGGGAGGTCGCGGGTGAGGAGCTCGTCCAGCCCCTCCAGCAGGCGCCGTTTGGGGCCGGGGAGGTTGGAGAGGTCCCGAGCCAGCAGCTGCTCCTGGGGAATGGGGGGGAAAAATAAAAAGGAGAGGTGGGGATGGGGTTGGGGGCGGAGAGGGGTTGTCAGGAATTAGGGAGGGTGTTCTCAGATTAAAAACGCACCAAAAAAAAAACAAAAAAAAAACCAAACCCCAAAAATACCCAAAAGCCCTCTTAAAAAAAAAAAAAAAAAAATCCCCCCTAAAAACCCCTAAAAATCCTCCCAAAAACTCCCCAAAACATCAAAAAAAACCCCCAGTGGATCCCAGCAGTTCCCAATGAAGCCCATCAGATCCTGTCGGGTTGCATAAAATCTGTTAGAGCTCAAAAAAACCCCATCAGATCCCATCCCCGCGCCCTCAGATCCCGCCAAAGCCCATCAGATCCCAAAAAACCTCTCAGAGCCCAAAAAAACCCCTCAGAGCCCAAAAAAACCCCTCAGATCCCAAAAAAACCTCTCAGAGCCCAAAAAAACCCTCAGATCCCAAAAAAACCCCTCAGATCCAAAAAAACCCCTCAGAGCCCTAAAACCCCCTCAGAGCCCAAAAAA